AAAAAGCCAAGGGAAATCTATCACTATAGAAGCTACTTAAATATATATATATAAAATATTAAGAGATTAGAAGGAGTTATAACAGGGGAATACTGTCACTTCTAGACATCATAGGCTTGCAAAGTAAAAGCCCAATGCCAGGAACAGACTCCCCCTTTTGAAGCTATTGACTAATTGTCCCACAGACCCTCAACAATACTGGCCATTGCCCTTGCTCTTGGTTTTCCACTAGAACTTCAGAGTAAGTCCTTATTGCTGAAGATACTACATATATGAGCTGTAGAACAAACAAGGAGAAAACAAGCTGGTGCTGACTTCAAAGTCTCATCTCTACTGTTTAGCTTTCACAGTGCTGGAAGATGCTATGCAAGCTACCCAAAGGGAAAATTCAGCATTGATCTTACACAGCTGTGAATCTTGTGAGTTACAACAACTGGTCTGGCAATATATGCCCACTGGTGCAAGTGGCATAAACATTTTTGGAGTAACCAACTACTTTCTAATTGGATTTAAGGTCTGCTCCATAGGATGGAGCCCATATATGACACTGATAGCAAGCCTAAGAACTTTAGGCTAGACACCCACAAGCCATGGGAGAAAGTCTAATACACTATTCTGATACACATAGTTTTAAATTGACTTCTAATGTCTTATTGTTATACCCACACACTAATGCATTTCTCAACTCTCAGCAGAGAAGCTTCCTTATGCAGCAAATGGTGATTAACATAAAGAACCACAACTGACCAACAATTAGAGAATAAGAGGCTGCAGGCTCCTTATCCCTGAATAGCACACCTATGTCAAGCTTCTGCCTCCCAAGGCTGAGGATCATTGTAGAAGAGGGGGCGGAAAGATTTTAAGAGCCAGAGGAGGTCCATGACCACAAGGAAACAGTTTTCCAGCTAGCTGGTCAGTTACTCATATGAATTCACTGGTGACAGCATGGACAAATCCTACATAAGCTCAAGACAAACAAAATCCCAGCATAGATGCAGCAAAGTGGGTAAGGAACCCCAACCTTACCTGAGAACTACTGGCAACCAATGAAAGAGATTCAATCTCATTTAAAGGTGAGACTCTCAGGTTGACCAGGCTCCAGTGGATGAATCCACACCGAAGGACAATTGGGGACACAAATCTGACACTATAGGCCTTAATATTTGTACATTAGAATACAGAAATCTAGGGGGAGGGTTGCTAAAAGGGGGGGTACAGATATGGGAGGGATATAAATATTATCAAAATATATTGTATGAAATTTCCAAAAATTCAATAAATTGCTTTTAAAAAGGAAGTAAATTAGAATTTTTTTTTTAAGAAAGAAACTTCATATAACTTACCAATCCGACAATCAGTAAAAAATATCTTCCTTCAGGTTCCTGAAATACCTCAGTGTCTGAGCTTGTGGAAGGCTGGAGGTGATACCTAGGAAAGACTTCTCTCCATATTATCAGCTGACCAATTCTTTGCTTTGCTGCTAAAGGTAGCAGGCAATAGTGTCGACAGTATATAGCAATCTCAACAAGATCATCCTTAGGCAAATGGCTGCACACCAAATAACCCTTGAATTTAATTACAGAGAGAAAAATTCAACTAGTAATATTAAGCAATAATTATATTTTTACGGACTTTATATTTCTATAGCTGGCTTAAAATAACTTATTTTCAAAAGGAATGTTAAAATATAGCAAAAGCAAGTGCTTCTTTCTGAGGTCAAACTGCAGATCAAATTTGATAAGGGCCTCAACAGGTAGACATTAGCATAAAGCAAACTTCCTTTTACCTTGATTGTTTGGTAAAATTTGAAAAGAATTAGAAGGTAGAGAAGCAGGGTCAAGGTGAGAGGAGACATTCTGTTTTGTGCAGCTTTCTGTAGCATCTGATTCTATGTTAAATACGTTACATATTTTATTTAAAGATATTTTTCAATAAAAATATTTAATCTGACTTGATGTCTAATTTTTTATAGGGATTTCATATAATGTTACAAGACTTACTTAAAAGATGTTATGGTTACTTCTGAAGAAGACATAAAAGTACACTATTGCAAAAGCAAATTAAGAATCTATTTCCCCTTGGCTGGCAAGACGGCTTGGGGGTAAAAGGCAACTGCCTCCAAGCCCGATAACCTGAGTTCAATCTCCAGTACCCACATAGTGGAAGGAGAGACCCAACTCCTACAAATTGTCCTCTGACTTGCACAAGTGTGCCATGGTACAGATGTGCACATTCACACATACATACACACACACAAAATATTATGCAACTGAAAAATTCTAAAAAAAGAATGTTGTTCTTCTCTCATATACTTTCTGTTACGTACTGTTTCACTTTCACACATTTGCAAATCCCTAGGAATACAATAAAACCATAAATATTTATTTATAAATATGTGAGTAGATGTCTTGTTTTCAAACTTTAGTCTTGTGATACCTACATCTAGAAGGAAGAAAATATTTTTCTACAAATACAGAAGTTTGAGAAAACTTACTTTAGATCTTTGTACATAGCAGTTGGGTATTTATAAAAATTTCAAGTTTCAACTTACCCTGTAAAATAGAGAAGACCCCAAAATTGTATACAGCCGTCTCATGTCATAATAATCTTCAGACTAGGGAAAAATTCACAGTTGATTTATACTGTGGTTATTTATTTTTGTGTGTAAGATAAAAAGGATTCTAATTTAGCTATAATAATTAAAATGGAGATTATATTAACTAGAAATAACTTTTTATATAAGGCCTTGTTTATAAATCAAAATGCTAGATTATTAAGGTAAAAAATGAATGTATATATTTATTTGAGAACTTTATTTTTTGGTTCTTTTAAAACTCTATTGATTGAAGACATGTAAAAATGGGACACAACATTTGTTATCCCATAAGGAATTCTTAAATTACATCTGTTAAGACAAAAATCTTCATTACATAGCACCTAAATCAGCCAGTATTACTATATACTAATTCTGAAAGCACAATCTACTTGTGGGCAAGTGAATGGCACTTGAGAATTGAATACACATATGATTTGAGCAAGTCTTCTAGAAATCTATAGAAATAATCAAGTGAATCAAGACTTCTATTTAACAATGGAATTATTTGGAATATAGAAAACCCAGAGGTAATACAAAGTGCAGTAATGGAGGAATGATCACCTATGTTTGGTGTTATACCAGAGAACATCATACAGATATTAAAAATAATATTGACCTACAAGAGAAAGTATAAAAGTTATAGGATATATTGCTCAGTAATGTAGAACAAAATATCACTAGATCTGATTTTTGCTGAATGTAGCTTCCCCCACCTATATATACCTATGTATGCACACATATTGGGTTTTGTGTTAAGAATGTATCTATAAAGTCTAGAAAGATACATTCCGAACTATGAGAACAGCCACACCTGGGATGCAGTGGGAGAAGATGAGGAAGAACATTTTCCTCTTCCTCTTCACCCAACATGCATTTATTAATTTTATAATTAACTTAGAGAAAATGAAAACCTGGAAGTAACTTAAATATCCTTCAATTGGGTAATTCAGATATATCCACACAATGCAAACAGCAGTAGAAAAGACTGAATAAATCTGGGCATGGTGGCACATGCCTGTAATCCTAGGACTTGGGAGGCTGAGGCAGGAGGATTGCAATTCTGAGTAGAGAAAACAGTATTATTAGCTCCAATGTGTCCATTATTACCCAGCTTTGACTAGGCGAGTACATGACAATTCTTGTTTCATGTATCTTTCTCTTCTTTTCTTTTCTCTTACTAAATTTCTAGACCAATCCCAGATATAGTTCATCTATAAAAACTTTAGAATGTACTCTAAATCTGAAGAAATCTTTTAAAAGTGTATATCATAATGCCATTATCTAAAGTTTATTCTCATTTAGTACACAGCAGTTAGCACTTATATTTCCTTAACTGTCTCACAGATGTTTACTTTTGATATATTTATTTATTTAGAAACAGGGTCTCACTGTGTAGCCCACACTGGCCTCCCAACTTGAGAGCGTCCTGCCTCAGCCTCTCAAGAAGTAGGATAACAGGTTTGTGCTGCCACACCTGATTCACAGATATTCTTAAAATGTTTATATGAATTAGGGGTCAGGAAAGGCCATGCACTGAACTTGACTGATGTGGTCAAGTTTCTCTGATGGTTTCTCCTTTTGTGTCTGCCTCACTCCATCCTTTTCTGGTTCATTTGGTGGAGAAAATACCCCATGTTACCTAGTCTGGATTTTTCTATAACTTCCCTTTCACAAATGGTCATTTGCCATGCCCTTTATTAGAAGACCTGAGGCCGCATCAAGGATATTTCATGGGTGGTTTATGTGTTTCATAACTGTGATGGCTAATGTTGCCAACCTGAAAGAATCTAGACTGACCTGGGCATGCCTGTGGGGGATTATCTTAAGTTAATTGGTGCTGGAAGACCCATCTTAATTGTAGATGGGACCACTTAGGTAGGGGGTCCTTGATTGTATAAAGTGGATAAAGTGAGCTGAGCACTAGCATACATGCATTTGTCACACTCTGTTTCATGACTGTAGATGCAATGTGACAAGTTCCTTCAAACTCCTGCTGCTGTAACTTCACCATGACAGACTATAACGTGAACTATGGACCAGAATAAACCTTTTCTCACTTAAGTTGCTTCTGTCAGAATATTTTATCACAGTAACAGGAAAACAACAGGAAAAAAAACTAAGACAATTTATCAACCCTGTGCCACCTGGCTATCTTCTTTGGTGGTATCAACACTTACTGATGACTGCTGCCTAGATCTGTCACCTTTACATGGTTGCCTTAACATGTGGTTCAGAAAAGAAAGGTAGGATAAATGTTTGACTCTTCCTTACTTACTAGGTTTCACAAAATTAAGTTGGTTTCCTAGTGTTTTCCAAATTTAAACAACTTCTTTTTGTTCTTTCAAAACATGAACTTATGCACATAGTCACAGTTGATGCACTTCAATATGCTGCAGTGACTATCTTACTGATGTTCCAGATGGAAGGTCTTCAAGTTGTCTCCTGTCAATTTCAGCCCCAATATATATAACCTAAGTCAGCTTTGAAAGCTTTCTGAATGTGAGATGACAAAATATATTTTTGGCTGTAAAGTTGGAATGTTCCATTTCCATGAGAAATCTAGCTCCTTTTGGTGAGAACTATTTTTTACATACTATGGCCTGGGGGTTAATGATACTTATTTGTTGGCCTATTCATTGGGTAGGGTGAGGTAATACACAGATTAATCCTTTAAAAGCCATATTGATAATGCCACGTTATATTCAGATCTACAGTGTTCTCAAGTTAATCAAAATTACATCTACATGTCCTTTCTTCATAAAGCCCCAAAGCTTTAGTTCAATCATTGTTTAAATCTCATAATAAATATTGGACAGCAAATAATTTCAATTGAATAGAAAGTCTTAAGGCAAAAAAAATATTTCTGGCCATGTCAAAACAGAGGCTTACTGTTATGCATTTCAAGTCCACTTGTTAAACATTTAGAATATATAAAGCAAGAATTCAGCATTGCGCCTTTCTTAAAATCCGCTCCTTCTCTTACCAGCTCTGCAAAATCTGCAGCCTCAAGGTCACTTAATGCTGTGTCCAAATCCATCTATGTTAAAAAAAAAAAAAAAAGAAGTACTTAATAACTACTTTAAGAAACAAATAAATAGTTTTCACTTTTATGACACAAGAAATATCTCAAAATGGGATATCTTATTTTTAAGATTTCAAATATAAAACATGAATATACTTAACTTACAGACTTTATAAAAACTAAATCTTAATGAAAAATAGTTCTAACCCTATGTTCAATGCATAACAACTTATGAGGTTAAAAAACTGCTTTCTTGTTTTAAGAATTTTTTAACTCATTATATTTCTTAAAGTAAAATGAAAATTAATATTGAGAGTCAACCTATTTCAAGTTGCTTTTCCATTCTCTGTGCATTTTTCAACAGTTCAATTCTTGGAAAATACCAACATTCTTCCTTTTCTCTCCGTGGAAACAATGTTTTGAATAAAAGGGTTGCCAGCCTTTATTCATAGATTAAAACATCAAGGCAGGAGTTCCCCTGGGATCTGGCACAGCTTAACTTCCCCACAGAGTTATTAGAAAAAAAAATCTTTTACATAGGATTTGCCTTTTGTTTCTATGGAAATTGCCTGAAGTATCCAAAATTTAAAAGCAGAGCAAATTTAATCTGTAATGCATGTGTATGTATCTCTCTCTCTCTCTCTCTCTCTCTCTCTCTCTCTCTCTGTGTGTGTGTGTGTGTGTGTGTGTATTTCAAGTAACTGAAAAAATTACTTGAAATACTCAGGATACAATTTTCTGTGAATAAAGATTCTCCCCTTTCCTTCCTTAAAGGCCAAGGCGTTCTCTGCAGGACTATGTCTCACACAGTAAGTTGTACTGAGATGACAAAAGCTTTAGAAACATTAGTCATGCCTTTCAATGCTTTCCACAGAGTATGACTTACTACGCATTTTGTGACCTACATTTTCCTGCATGTAGCAAATACTTTATGTTCTCTTTTTTGATGGGAATTGTTAACCTTATGAAAGACTATTGCACAAAGAGGTTAAACACTTGGCAATTTTCAATCTCCTGAGTTGTTCAATGAATTGCTATTCCTACTACTGCACTCTCCACCCTAATGCATGAGACTAATATATAATTGTTTCTTCTTATTACTTTAGAAAAAAAGTAAAATATCTATTATATTCTTTTGTTTTGTTTTGTTTTGTTTCTTGTCTTTTTGAGATGGGGTCTCCCTGAAGCCCCAGCTGGCCTGGAACTCAATAATGTAGACCAGGCTGGCCTTGAACTGACAGAGATCCGCCTGCCTCTAGTCTCCCAAGTGGTGGGATTAAAGGCATGCACCACCATGTCTGGCTAATATCTTTCCTCTTTTGACAATTCCAGATTACTTTAGGAAAATATGATTGAAAAAATTCTCAAATACCTGGGAAAGGAAACTGAAGTGAGGCCTCATCATACATTTAAACTCAGAACAAGTAAGTTATTCCAAATTTAAAAAATGACTAGTTGTCAGGCATAGGTTGCCATACAAATATCTTTTTAACCAGAGTTCTTAAGCTATTAGATTCTTTGATATTTTCATTAGGAGAAAAGCTGTCAGTGAAACCTACTATTCTAAGACAGTGAAAAAAAATGCAAATAGAAAAATAAAAAAAATCCTTTTTCTGATAAAACAAAACCTTTGGGGACTTTGGTTTCTGGGTACACATGTAAAAAGCTTGTCAATCCTAACAAGTAAAAAGCTGAACATAATAAAAAGTCAACAACTCTTCTGTGTCTGTAAGAGGCAAGGACAAAACAAACTGCTCTCCTCAAAACTAGAGAGGCAGGCAGATAAATTCAGGGACTCAGAGCTGCCAGAGCAGATTCATGAGCAGGAACCACCAATACATCCAAGGTCAGTGGAGGAAAACCTGCAATGCAGGAAAATTGTCAGAGGCTAGTGTGGGCAATTTTGGCAATTGAAAACTTCAGGGGAACTCAGGCTATAGGAGACCCCATATTTTTTGAGTTTTGCAACTGAAATTTAACCAGGTTGTCACAGTAAATGTTGGAGGAAAAATGCCCTCCTGATTTGAGCATTGGCAAGGAAAAAGGAACCCTGGTGAAGTGCAACAGATCTAGCACTGGGTTTTCTTAATGAAGCCTGCTCTCAGGAGAAAGCAGTTAATTACATCCCACCCCATGGTAGTTAAAGGGGAAGAAATACCCAGCAATAGCCTTCCTCATTGCAGAAGGGAATCATGCAACCTCATATGTAGGAGAAGGGAAACATCCAACTCAGGCTCCCTCTAGAAGGTCTGTCCCATCCAAGCAGGGTGGAAAAACCATGACAATGGTGATGTCCAAAGTCCCAGGGTCTACAGGTTCACCAAAAGATGGCATTCTAAACAAAGATCAAGAAGGCTTCCCCTCCCCTTGACTACGTCACGAGTGGAGCCTTTTTCAGTTGTTCATTTCATGTGTACCTCATGTCCTGCTATCAGGAAAAAAAAAAAAAACCACAGGGCATAGCAAAAGGCAAAAAACAAAACAAAAACAAAAAAAACCAAAACATCAACAACAAAACAAAATAAAAACATGAACTGAGGATACAAAGAATCAGAAGCAAAGTAGCAGGATGCAAAATCAATAAGCAAGATCCAGGTCTTTCTATACAGAAATAACCTATTTGCTAAGAAAGAAAGATACCCAGTAACAAAACTCACCAAGGAGGTGAAAAGTTTCTAGAGTGAAAATTTTAAGATACAGGAGAAACTAATTGAAAAAGGCACTAGAAGACAGAGCTCCCGTGCTCGTGTTTGTATGGGTGAGATTTAATTTCGGTAGGGCAGATCTGGAGAGATGGCTCAGCAGTTGAGCATTGACTGGCTCCTTTCAACTAACAATTATATAATGAAACTTTCACAGCTATAAATTCAACTACAATGTGCCAAACACAATTCTAAGTACTTCACCTGCAACATATCACAGTTCCTCAATGAAGTGTCCATTATCCCTTTACCCACCCTATAGATGAGAGTTTTCTCATCCTGATATATCAATTTAAATAATTATTAAACTGCCAAGAAGGCATTTATGTAGTTATACATTGGAGGGTTTCATGAAGAGTAGAATCTCAAATTAAGATTTTTTTAGGTAACTGAGCCTGGGTTTCTACATAAGCAGAGAAGTGGCTATAGAATACTGCCTCACTTAATACTAATAAAATGCTGTAAGTAAGCAAATTTCATGGTGCTCTACATTGAAGACTGTGACATGATCATGTCAACTGTTTCACATTATATGGGGCATATAGTTGTGACTGAAGTCACGTTGAAAACACCTAAGTATCATGAAGCCCTAGGTTTGGTAAACCAAATACGGAACAAACCAAAAGCTAAACATATGTTCTTTAGAAAGAAAAATTTGGCTGGGCCACGGATTTAGCTCAGTAGAGCACATATTTAGTATGAAAGAGACCCAGGGTTCAATCCCCAGTATCAAAAAACAAAATAAAAACAAAGAATGATTTTTCTAATAACAGACTTGCATATTTATTAAGAATAATGTTTGCTGGAGCTGGAGAGATGGCTCAACAGTTAAGAGCATTTGCTGCTCTTGCAGAGGACCTGGGTTCAGCTCCAAACACCAACATGATAGCTCACAATTACATGTAACTCTAGTTCCATGGGACTGGAACTAGAGGCCCTCTTCTGGCCTCTGTAAGCTCCTATACGTACCTGGTGTACATAAACTCACAACACATTAAAAAAAATCTTAAAAAAGAAAAGAGCTTGTTAATGTACCCTGTAATTTGTTTAGTTACAGCATATTTATTCATATTAAGTGAGGTAACATTCCATAGCCACTTCTCTGCAACCATTTTTAATCTGTATAGAAACATAATACTGACTTTGCATTATATAATCAGAACCATAAAATTTCAGAGTAAGAAGACAAGCTTAAGATTTTTTTTTGGACAGGGTCTCTCATAGCCCTAGCCTGCTTGGAACTCACTATGTAGACCAGGCTGCCTTTGATCTCACAGAGATCCACCTGCCTCTGCCTCCCAAGTGCTGGGATTAAAGGTGTACACTACCATGCCCAGCATACAGCTTAAGATTTCTAAAAAGAATTCTGAGTTTAGAGGAAGAAGGAGCTCAACAGAGGGGACCATAGCACATAGAAACTATCAAAGGAGAAATGGGGACACTTTAAATGGGGAGGACAAGGAGCGAGGATAAGACAAGGAGAGAAAAGAGGAGAGATAAATAGCGCCTAGCTGGTATAAAAAACCAGAGGGAATTGTATTACTCCAAAAACATACTGAAAATTTATACATACAATATCCCTACATGAATCCATGAGTATAGCTCAAGACTACATAACAAGAAACATTGCCAGACAGGAGAAACCTTCGAGTTGTTGGCCAGGGTGGTCCAAGAGGTTCCCCAAATTACCCAGACTGTTGCCACAACTCTTGATTGCCTTCCAGAACTTGAAGGTAAGACCCTACTGCTGAAGACAGGACATACTTTGGACAGAGGATTTGGAGCAATGGAGCTGAAACTGACTTGGAAGTCACCTCCCTTGAAGGCTAGCTCTCATAGCTCTGGAGAGCACTATATAAACTGGTAATGGAGAACATCAATCGATGGTCCAATCCCAGCTTCAAGGCCTAATAGCTAATGACTGGCACAGCAAATGACATTAGTGCAGTAGTGGCACTTTTATCTTGGGGGTAATCAACAGCTACCTAATGGGACTTAAAGCCCATTCAATGGGAAGAAACTCATGTGTGGTACCTAGCTAAACACACATAGCTGGAGAGGTCATAGATCTTAGAGAAAGCTCTAAGGCTGTCACATCCCTAGACAAATGCAATTTCTTACTATGTACAAAATATGGATCCTTATATTTACAGACAAGTATCCCAGTCACCACCCATCAAAGTAGCTTCTTTTTCAACAGACAGATTATTACAGAGCTACACCACTAGTCACACACAGAGATTCTCTACGAATTGCCCAAGCCTAAATGGCACACCTAGGATGCAACCTCTACACCTAAGATTCATAGAACATAGAACAAGGGATGAAGAGAACACTAATGCATCTTTCAGTTCTCATCAATGAAGCTCCCTCATGGAACAGAGGCCCAGGAACATAAAAGGCCAAAAATGGCCAAAACACAGAGAATGAATTGTCCTTGGACAGGACTCCTATATTGAGGTCTACCCACCCAGGGCCCAGGGACCACTGTGGAAGAGGGGTGGCGGAATGATTGTAAGAGCCAGTGAGGAGGTGCATGACTATATGGAAATAGCCCTACAGGCACCTGAGACCCTTCTCATACAAACCTACAGCAATGGTGTCAGCATGCAAAAGACCCATGCAAACTCAGGCAGACAAAAACCCAGCACAGAACTATGGAAATGAACAGCAAGCCCCAATTTTAGTTGAAGAATCACTGGCAGCTAATTATTGCTGGGTGAGGAGGAGCTGATCTTGAAGGGAGAAACTCTAGATATGCTGACTAAACCCCAGTGGATGAACTTGTACTGAGGGACATCTGGGGACACTAACTTTACATAATAGGCATTCATACAAATGACAGAATGTATGAACTCCAGTGAGGGGCTATGGGAGGGCGCCAAAGGGGAAGGGGGTATAAAGATCATTTTATGTATGAAATACACAAAAATTCAATACAAATTTATTTAAAAAGAAAGCTTAAATGCAAAACAAGTTGAGAAAGTCAAATATTTTTAAAGAGTCATTTGTATACGTTCATCAGCCAACTACCTCTTTAATTCTTATCCATGATTTTGAAAAGCAGAAAACAGCTTAAGAAAAAGGGAGAAGGGGGTCAGCAAGTTTGATCCCTGGAACTCAAGTAAAGATGGAAGGAGAGAAACAACTATACAAAGTTGACCTCTGACCTGCACACACCTATTGTGGTATCACCCACCCCCAATCATAGATTAAAAACTTTAGAAAAGAGAAAAAGAGCAGATCAAAGCTTAGAATGAAGCAAATGGTTCTGACTCGTATTTAGGACCCCCTAAGATTACCTTGATTTCCTGTGGAAGTGTGAGCCAACGAACTGCAGGGAGGCTGTCTAAAAGCACAGCGCTGGCTGCATCATACTGTTGAGCACTGGGGCTGGGGCTGGGATGTAGTTTAGCAGGCTGAAGTGCCCTCTGAAAGAATAAGCTGAAGAAATGATCCAAACGAGGAACATTCTCGATCTGGCAAAAGGCACTGAAGAAATAAGAGCTGGAAGTTAGAGCAATATGTGGACATGGTGGTCTCTTTCTGCATGCTCCTAAGGGGACTGGCTTTGTCCCAGCTCTCTTCCTCTCTCTGCTCCCTTAATTACAATACTGTTGTAATGTAACTAAAGGAGGGTGTTAAGAAATGTACTTTCTGTATTTAACAAGATACTAGAGAAGAATCACAGGGTCAACACAAGTTCTATCATCCAACCATTTACAGCTTCCAGTATCTTTCAGGCAACAGAGAATAATAAAAAGATTTGGAACTCTGTAGTAGAACAGATTTGGCTTTCGCTGTTCTTACTAGACAGTTGTCATAGGACAAATCAACAGACCTTTCTCTGAATTTTAGTTTCCAAGTCTAAAACTGGGGTTAATGTAATCCACCTCACATGCAAAGTACATATTGTTATGCTTATTCTAGTGTATAATAAGTACAAAATAAGGGACTAAGTTATTTTTCTCCTCGGTTCAGGGAGGGAGAGAAGGAGGGAGAAAGAAATAGAGACAGAAAGAGAGACAGGGAGAAACTGGGAGAGACTGAACAGTTTATTTTAGACATGTAAAAGCAATATAGCATTGGGGCTGGAGAGATGGCTCAGTAGTTAAGAGCACTGGCTGCTCTTGCAGAGGACAGGGGTTTGGTTCCCAGCAGCCCCATGGCGGCTAACAAACCATCTGTAACTCCAGTTCCAGGGACACCCTTTCTGACCTCCACAGGCATTGCATGACATGAGTGCACTTACATACATGCAGGCAAAAATACTCATAAATATAAAATAAAAAAATAAGTAAATTTTTTTAAAAAAGCAATCTAGCATTAATCACAATCATTCACTGGAATAACTCACAAAATGACATAATAGCTGGTTAATAGCTATTAACATACCAAAGTAATATTCACTGATTCATACAACAAATATTTAAGTGCCTACTTTGTTCAAGTCACTGTCCTCTTTGGTGGAGGCACAGCAATAAAATATCAAGACAATGAGCCCCTATGAAGCTCACAGGCTGACAAAACAAGACAAAGCAATGAGCAGGAAACTAAGAGCCCTTATGAAAGACAGTGAAGAGAACACGATGATGGGAGGGTGTAGTGTGACTGACTGGCTAGCTTATTTTTATTTTATTTTTAAGATAAGATCTCATGACTCTGCCCAGGCTTGAACTGGTGGGCTCAAGTCTTCCTTCAGCTTCCTAAGAATCTAGGATTACAGGTACACAACTTTGTGTCCAGCTGCTTGGCTATTTTGGATTAAATGACTAAAAAAACATTCTTTGAAAATAGGTCATTTAAGTTGATATTCCTGTGTCAAGAAGATCCAGCAGAAGGAAAGAGCGCAAAGTCTCTGGGGCAGGGAAAACTTTGCTAGTGTGTAAGACAGACAAATGGCTGTGGTTTGAGATCTGGTCAGACAGGTAGATTGGAGTCAGACAATAATGCAGGAAGATTAACTGCTCTATGGAAATTAATTAAAGTAGCAAGAACAAAAGTAAAGAGATCCATTACGAGGTTACTGCAGTACAATATAGCAATGGTTGGGCAGGGAAATTGAGAAGACAGAGAGAAATGGATGGTCTTGAGATGTGCTCTGAGATAGATACGTAGCAACTGGATGATTGATTAGTTGGGGATAGTAAAGGGAAATGCATCTTTAGTCACAACATTCACCTATTATCATACAGTTTTCTGAATCCCATAGGGAACTAGCTCATAACTTAAAAATGATAAATCTTTTGACTTTTGAAGAACATTTTTGCAATTTTTTACAGAAAAGTCAGAAAAAAACTTTGTTACTCAAAATTATTTTAAAATGTCTACTAATAGCATCTTAGATCTATATTGCTTTTTAGTTTTAAGAACTCAATAGATGGGGTTAGAAAAATGGCTCATCAGTTAAGAGCATGTACTGCTCTTGCACAGGCCTATGTTCAGTTTCTAGCACCCATGTTGGCTGGCTCACAACCACTTGTAACTCCAGCTCCAGGAGATCCAACACTCTCTTCTGGCCACTGTGGGCACTGCACTCACATGTGTACATATATGCACATAAATACAAAATTAAAAATAGATAAATCTTTTTTTAAAAAGAATTCAGTTGACAGGGGGCTGGAGAGATGGCTCAATAGTTAAGCACACTGGGGGCTCTTGCAGAGGACCTGGGTTGGGATTCTAGCACCCACATGGCAGCTGGTAACTGTTCTTAACTCCAGTTCTAGGAGATCAGAGGCCAGAAGTCTTTTGGCCTCTCTGGGCATTGCATAACACAGGTGCACTTACATACATGCAGGAAAATACTTATACACATAAAATAAATATAAATACATTTAAACAAACTCAATGAGTGTTCACATTTATTTTCTTAGTTTGTCCTTCAAGCTTTCACCTGAGCAAAGAGAAATTAATTAAATTTGTTGCCACTGTAGAGATATTCTCAAATCAACAGAAGGTAAACTTTAAGATAAAACTCAGAGAAACTAAGTCCCTCTACCCTCAACCCAACACCATGGAATAGGGCCCCACAGAGCACCTTCAGTAGACTGTTTGCATGTATGAAATTCATTGCAGAAATTTAATCTTTGATAATATTTTATTTCATAGAAATGGATTCAATTAAGATATAACATAACAAAGTTGGTTTCTCTGATGTAACCTTAAGAAAACAATTAATAATTACACTCTCATTCTTCACTGATTAAAATTTTACTAGTAACAGGTTAAAAACACTGTTTATAGATACCCAACCTTTTGTGGCTCACTCATTTGGAAGATACAGCTAAATAATCAGGTTTGGGAGGGATATACCTCCTTAGAGTCTCCTCCAGTGGAGAATGTGGCCAGCGGAATGATCTTATCAGATGACACAATCACAGAAGTTCCTCCATGATGCTTTGAGCACATTAATAGTCAAGATCAGAGAGTTGATACCATTGTGATCAGAAAAATATATAAACTTTCAATCTCTCAAGGCTTTGAAAGCAAAGATCTCATTTTAGCCCCTACAAACACTAGAACTTAACAAAAATTTCACTAAAAAATATGCTTTTAATTCATAATTCTGTACACTCAAATGTTTAATAATTATCTCAAATTTCTTCCCTCAAATCATGAAATATCTATCAGATTATACTATAAAGTTAAAAAAAAAAGTACGTGGTCAAATACTGAGAAAAAAAAAAAAAAAAGAAGCAACTGATCAAATACTGAGAATAAGTGATGGTGGAGTGTTCAACCCTAAATGAGACATCTGTATCATACCCTCCAAGGCTTAGGTAAACATCAAGGACGAAGGGGAAGAAAGAATGAAAGAGTCATAGGGTGAGGGAGACATGCATCAAAAAAGTATCTTCTGGACATGACACAATCACTGTACTCATGAACTCTGTATAAGACATGTACAATATTGGGCCCCTTAACATTTCATCATGGATGGGGAAGGGCCCATGCGATGGTACTACTGGTGGTTAATGGTTGCTAGGGAGGGGGTGTCATTTTCTTCAATGGTGTAGACACTCAAGTTGTTCATGTAAATAATCCCCAACAATGCAAGCAACCTTAATTAAAGTCAGTAGGTCATACATACACACACACACACACACACACACACACACACACACACACACACACAGGCAGGGTCATGGAACCTTTAGGAAGTACAACCTTACTGGAGGAAGCATATCACTACAGGTGGTTTTTGAATGTTCTTAAGCCTTGCACCATTTCTATTCTCTCTCTCTCCCTCCCTCCCTCCATCTGCCCCAGCTGCCTCCTGCAATGCCTCCCCTGAAATGATGGACTCTTACCCAGCTGGAACCATAAGCCCAATAAACTATTTTTCAGTTCCCTTGCTCAAGGTGTTTTATCACAGTAACAGAGAAAAGTCAAGTAAAATAATACAGGTATGAAACTATCAAAGAAGAAACAAAAGAAGCAGAAAATATGCATAATATGCATAAAATATTCACATTTTACAGAGAATACATAAAGGAAATCACAAGCAACTAGTCGGTATTTTCTCTATTGTACGTCTAATTCTTCTAACAGTGCTTTTTTGTTTGTTATGCTTTGCTTTTTTAAAAATTTGTTATTTTTATTTTATGTGTTTTGTGTATTGCCTGTATGTAGGTAAGTGCACCCGTGTTGTGAAATGCCCGCAGAGGAGAGAAGAAGCTGTCAAATCCCCTGGAACTGGAGTTACAGAGAGTTGTTAGCTGACGTGTGGGTGTTGGGATTTGAACCTGGCTCTTCTGTAAGAACGGCCAGTATTCTTAACTGCTGAGCCATCTCTCCAGCCCCTATGCTTTGATTTTGTTTTTTTTTTAGACAAGATCTATGGTCCAGACTGGCCTGGAAACCCATTATGTAAATCAGGTTGGCCTTGAACTCCTGCCTCAACTTCTTAAGTGCTGAGATTACAGATGTGAGACATGATGTCTGGGTAATACTGATTTTTCTTGACAGGATCTCCCTAGTCCCAGGTCACCTTGAAGTTACTATGTGGACTAGGTTGGCCTTGATCAGAGATCCACCTGCCTCTGCCTCCCAAAGGTTGGGATTAAAGGCTTGCACAACCACGCCCAACATAATACTGAATTTTTAAAATTACATTATGTTGAAGAAAAAAAGCATTACATTTCAGGACAGTGAATTTGGTAATAGTATTATTTTTTTAAACTATTTTATTATTTTACTTTAAGTGTATGAGTATATTGCCTGCATGTATGTAAGTGCACCCATGTTGTGTAATGCCTGCAGAAGTCAAGGAGGGCGTCACATCCCCTGGAACTGGAGTTACAGATGGTTGTTAGCTGCCATGTGCATGCTGGGAATTGAACAGGTCCTCTGCAAGAACAGCCAGTGCTTTAAACTGCTGAGCCATCTCTTCAGCCCAAGAGACAACACATTTACTTAAAATCTTACTCTTCTCTGCATGTTATACAGAAATATACTACACTTGTCCCTAAATAAATGAACCAAATCAGTATGTTCTGATTACAATATATCATAATACAAAACATTTATTAACATAGAATCACATACCTAAAACTTGAAATGGAATTTGGAGAAGTACTCACCTATCTAAAGAACCATACATAAATTTTAAGGTTTGTGCAACTTCTTCTATCATATTCCTTAGCTGGGGAAGAGGAACGCTATAAAAAAAATGTACTTATTGATTTGTAACATAATCAAATGACACATATCTAAAAGAAGCAAGACTTTTTCAGTTGATTTGTAAGGTTTATGTCAACTGTGGGTAGAGCTATAAAAAATACTTAATCCATTATCAAATGATGACCCTGGCATTACATATTCATTATTTCATCAAAGGCATTGAACATCTTGGCAAAACACCCCTGCTGGCCCTTGAGTCTCTGAAATCTTCAACATGAATAAACTGTAAAATACTAAATCTAAATCACATTATTGTGAAATGTGAGCAGAGGATAAACTCACCTCTCAGACATCTCTGTCTTGACTGTACACCCACAGCCTTACTATATACTGGTGGGCGAACTTTCAAACCACATTGCTCCCTGTTCTCGCCTAAGAACACAGGTAGCTACTTCACTAGTGCAACATAACTTGAAATCATAAAACTATCATAAGCAGTTTGCCTTTTGACAAAATTGTCATAATTTTAACAGGTTTGTTACTATTAATTCATTTTACTTATTTTTTGATTACTATCATTTTCAGAAATGATTTTCAAGGTAAACAAAAATTTCTACTCACTCTGCAGCAGGAAGGCCAATTAACAACAACTTGTCAGATTCCTTCAAGTAAGCAACATGAATTTGTTTCTCATTTAAAAGGAGGGATGAGCTAAGAAAAACATAAATTCAAGATGAAGTTAGAATATCTTTAAGTATTATAAAATTATAAAAATTACCCACAAAAGGTTATATATGGTATAATTTAAGAACTGAATACCTAATAAGCAAATTTTTGGCATGTACTCAAGACAGAAAGGGCAGGAATTGTGTGACAACAAAAATATAATTCCATATTACCTTCCAAATGCCAGGATACACAAAAATAGAACCATCATTTTAAAGATGCTGAACTTCAGCCAGATGTGGTGGTATATGCTTATAATCCCAAAACTCAGGGGGCTGAGGCTGGAGGATTGCTCTGAGTTTGAGGACAGCTTGAGCTACCTAATAAACTCCAGGCCAGTCAGGGCTTCATAGCAAAACCTTGTCTCAAATGGGGGTGTTCGTTGGGGAGGACTGAAATTCTTATGTTGACATTAAGTAGTTACATATGATTTATTTTTTAAAAGAATGTTTCCATTCCAGCCCATTAATTTAATTCCACTAACAGGAAATGTCTCCAGTAGGGCACTCTCCAGGCACTACCAGTAGGCCAGACTTTGCCTGGGACTTGAGCTAGAGTACGCAGGCTGACAGCTGACAGTTGCAGGTGTTTTCTTTTAAATATAATTTTTAAAAAGATTTATGTGGTTTTATTTTATATGTGAATGTTCTGCCTGCTTGTATGTATGTGCACCACATGTGTGCTGCAACCATAGAGGAGGCCTGAAGAAGGTGTTGAACACCTGGAACTGGAGTTGCAGTTGATTGTGAACCAGTATGTGGGTGTTGAGAACTGAACCCAGGTTCTTTGAAAGAGCAGTAAGTGTTCTTAACACTGAGCCATTTCTCCAGTCCCACAGGATTTTTTTTCTAAGATGATTAAATGTTCTAAAATGGACCTTGGTGATAATTGCACATATTTATGAATACACTAGAAACTATTTGCTTTTAAGATGGGTAAATTGTACCATTTGACTTTAAGCTCAATAAAGCTATTAAAAAAATAAAATGAGGGTGAGGGGACACAGTTCAGCAATACACAGACAGGACTTACCTAAAAGATATGAGACCCTAGTTTTGATCTCCAGAATGTAAAAGAATAAATATAAAGAGGCCTGGTAAGCCACGCCACGCTACTTTTCTTCTTCTTTTTTTTTTCTTACAAGCTGCTTTTATAAATACAAATTTACAAATAAAGTGGAGTTTAGAGTGCCACTCTCTTGAAATACAGAGTTAAACATAAGTTTTATTTAGGAAAACAAGGATGCTCTTGTTGCCACTGTCGTATAGATCCTGCCTCTTCTAAATACTTAAAGTGTAATTTTTACCAGAAGATGGGAAAATTTAAAAATCTAGAAAATTCATCTTAATATTTTATCAGTAATATGGGAGCTTTTAAAACTTGAAAAAAAACCTTTTTAAAAATAAACTCTAAAAACTAAAATAAGCTCTAACATTACTGAAAAATTAAGGAAGAAAATCTGTAATAATATATTCTATGAAAAACAAAATCCAAAAAAACAAAACTCAAAAGCATTGAGTTCCCTCATTCACAAGGTAACTACAGCACTTCAAAATCAGGGCTTGATAAATCAATGTGGAATGGGTATCTGCTCTATAAATGGCTAGTGTATGTTCCTTTCCTTCCTCCTCTCTCCTTCCCCCCTCTCTCTCCTTTCCCTCTCCCTTCTCCCTCCTTTTTCCCTCCCCCCTCCCCTCCTCTCTTCCCATTCCCCTCTCCTTTCCTCTCATTCCCCAGGTGCTGGCAAGTCAACCAACCCAAGACTACATGCTAGACAACTGACTGAATGTTCCACCACTGCAGCACAATCCCAGTCCTAATTTTTTAAAGAATTGACATCATTTTTGCCTTTTGATCTCTAAATAAACTTCATATGGCACTGAATTCTGAATATCCCTCCTAAAGCACAGTCTATATTTCTCTCTCATTATTATAAAATCAGAATATTTTCTAGTCATGTGAAGAATTCATCACACTGCCTAGCGAGTTAACAATAGCAGTAAAAACATGAAGAAGCCAAGATGCATAATAATGCCATATTAAAAGATAAAACTTCAGGACACATGTGGAAGTCAGAAGACAATCTGTGGGTTCTCTCCTTCAACAGACTTTGTCAATTAAGTGATGCCAAAACACCCAAATTTATAGCTGAATTGAAAAACCTTATGTTCTAAATTAAATCAATGATTGGTAGAAATAACTGAAACAATAGATGTAGATATCCTACCCACCAATATAGATATCATTATAACAGATAAAAGTATATTTTAACATAAGATTTTACATTTTGTTAGAATCAAAGAATTTGAAGAAAGAGTTAAAAATTATTACCTAGTTACTTGTGTCCCAGTTACATTTTCCAGCATGTCACAGAGTGTGAGAAAAATCCCCCTCACACTCTTGAGCTTTTGAGATGCCTCAGTCATTGGGTAATGGTAAAGAATTTCTTGCTGTTAAATGAATGAAAACAGAAACGATCAGCTTCCAAGTGCTCCAAACATTGTATTTGTCATGGAAGTTCAGACTTTGTGTTAAGAACAAAACATGAACCCTTTCAGCTTCAGTCAAGAGTTTCATTCAAACACCAGGACAGAATATTCATGGAATTTTAACACATCACCTAGCATTTAAAATGCTACATCTGAAAATAAACTGCCAATTGGTGAGGAGACCAAAATCTATATGCATTAATTGAAATCATTACTAATTTCAAATAGTGTTTTAAACATCTACATCATGACTTTTAATACTAATATTTTAGCATATCTCATTATAAAGTATTTTTATCCACTGTAGTTATACATGTAACTTTCTGAAGCTTTTAAATTTAATTTCTTTCATACTGACTTTTAAAAGATAATCTTCATCATTGTATAACATTATTAAATACTATTTAAGACCTAAATAAATTATATTTACAATATAAATATATGTAATATATACAATTTTATTTACAAAGTGAATACAAAATTAAAGTAGTATAAATAGGAAGAAAAAAGTATTACAAGATTATAAAATCTTATCTGTATTCAACTAGGGAGGGTTTATATATCACAAATTAATCTACACTCAAAAGTTAAAAGCACAGTTTTTTTAAAATTATGGAAAATGCTAATTTATAAGATAATTCACAAACTGTTTAATATTTTTCTATTTTCCAGAAGAGCATGTCTCCAGTAAACAGACAGCTTTTATGAATGTAAAATAATAAATCTCTCAAAATCAGAATATACTAACCGTTCTAAAACAAAAAAATGCATCTCACATATAAAAAAATTATTATTTTTATTTTATGTGTATGAGTGCACTGCCTGCACGTGCGTAAGTGCACCCGTGTCATGGAATCCCCATGGAGATCAAAAGAAGGCATTGCATTTCCCTGGAACTGGAGTTACAGATGGTTGTCAGCTGCCATATGGGTGCTGGGAACCGAACCCGGGTCTTCCGCAAGAGTAGCCAGTGCTCTTAACTGCTGAGCCATCTCTCCAGCCCTGCATCTCACATTTTTGCTGTTACTTGGGCAACATCTATTTTTCTCACAGGATAAATTAAAACAGACAAAATAAAAACTTCTAGATAGAAACCATGGAGAATTCAGAATAATTTCCAGCTGTGATGTTTAATAATTTAACAGCCACAGTTAAAAGTCTGCATTCCATAAGTATTATATTGTCATATCCTTTCCTTAGTTCTCTCTCTAAAAAGTGTCAAACAGTTTTAGCATCTTTTCAAGAAATAGTTACATGGCACAGTGTCCATGTATTGCAATTTTGACATTATGACAAATATAATGATACACTGTACATATCTGCTTTTTATACTTAGTTAGAACTGAGTATATGAAAATTGCTACGTGATACATTGGTCAATACATTAACAATTCAAATTTTCTTGCAATGTTTCCATTGTAAAAGCAGCTATAAAGCACTATTTATCTCTAGAAATTAAGCCAAACATCAATTAAAATCTGTGATGACTACTTAATAAATTTAAACGTTGGCCAACAAATACTTCCATTCTATTTTGTCAAAATACCAAACACTATTTTAAACAATCTTTGAATTGTTTTTTTAAATCTCCCATCTTATGGTCATTGCATTCCAAATCTTGTAATTTGAAGATAAGCTCTGTATCAATTATGTAACTCATAGGAAAAAAAAATGCCCCCATGCCAGTAAAAAGACCATTTAGGGAGGTCTCTATTGTAGTAATAAAAAGCCTCAGTATTAAAGGCCTGGCAAACTCTACAGCTCCTAACCAATTTAATTAGCTGTAATTTTAAGTCTGTGTTATTGGCTTACATTTACAGACACTTCTACTCTGCTCAGTAAGAATTAAAAGCCTCTCTTAATTACGATTTTAATACAGGACTGGCAACAGACAGGAACCTGTCCATTTCAGAGATATCCACATATTTTCCCAGGGGAAAAAAGGTGAGGATGACAAACGGTCTCAGCAGTCTCCTGACCAGAAAGATTCAGAACACTATCCCCGAAATTTTGGGGGTGTTTTATCTAGTAGATGCTTAAAGGTTTCATTTGTTTTAAAGATACAAAGAGCCAGCAACAGTACATATAACAGCAAATGGCAAGTAATATGTATACAGTAAATTCCATCTTATTAACTGTTGATAAGAAACAACTCAAGGAAATGCACACTGTGTAAAAAATGGCTTTGGCATTGGGAACACAGGCTGAAAGGATTTCAAAAGAAAACAAATGGAGATTAGCTAAAAACATTTTAGATCTCAGATGTGCTCAAAGCATTCTGCTTTGAGATCACCTCATGTTGCAAAACTAGATCCATGGCCAAAACATGCTCATTGTTGAATTGCTGGCATGCAAGCAGTACACTAGTTTCCTTCCTGCACTCTTCCAACCTCCTTCCAGGGCCTGTCACAGCAAGGGGAGGTAGGATCTCCACTGGAATGCTTGAGTGGTCAGCAAAAGGCCAGAGGCTGGGTTATATGCCAGTGCCTATAGGAGCTTCAACAGTGCCTATAGCAGCTTCAAAAGAACACAGTTCTGGACCTTTTTAAGGTGAGTGAGCTGAGCCAAGAACCACTACCTTAAGTCCCAGCTTTTAAGTAAGATTCAAATGTCCTGGGTCAGTGGCAGAATAAAAAAAGCAATTTCTCTCTAAAGAAAAGCATCCCCAATTTAGAATCATGGGCTCCCTAGATAGAACTCCCAAGTAAATTTAGATAAAGATCCTCAAAGACATGAGGCAAACCACAAGTTAGGGTTTGAATCTTAAGTGTTCTCCAAAGGCCTGTATACCAAAGTCCTGGCCACAAGCACATGATGCAACTGATGGGGGTGGGTCAGGCCCTTGAAGAGGCTACTTTCTATTACTTTGGTTTTGGCTACCGTGAGATGGTGCTTTGCCTTACCACGTGCCCCTGCCAGGATGTCCTTGTCTCAACATAGGCTCCCAAACAATGAAGCAAAGTGAACATGGACCAAAATCTTTAGCTACGAGCCAAACTAAACACAGCCTCCTTTTATTCTATTTTTGGTATTTTGTCACAGTGATGGAAAGCTGACTAGCACACAAAAGGGTCATGCACAAGTAGTTCAAATAGCAATGTTTGAAGAAGATGACAGAAAAATTCAAGTATGTCAGTAATCTCTATGTATAGATTTGCTGAGTTTTGTCAGAACACTAAATATATTTGTCAGATGATAAATTGCTATGTATAAGAAAAATACCCCAAGTAGGCACAGAATGAGAAAGATAAACCATACAAGTATTTATAAGACAAATATTTACTATTATTACATACTAAAATATTTTAAATCATTGTTTCTAAAACTTTGTAAGATAGGTCTGAGAGATGGCTCAGTTGCACATCAGGACTGATGACCTGGGTTTAATCCCTGGGATCCACAGTGTTGAGAGAATTAATTCATCTGACCTCCACAAGCATGCTATGACATTTGCATACACCTACACCAAATGCATGTGTGTGTGTGCATGCGCATGCTCACACACCACACATACACACAAAAACACTAATGAGTAAATAAATAAATGCAACTTTAAAAGTTAAAAAAAGAATCAAAGGCTGAGATCCTAGCAGACAACCTGAGAGGGCAGGCTCCAACCTCCATCCTTGTAGCAGCTCTGATCTCAGCAGACTGCCAGGGAGTGCCAGGTTCTGGCCTCCCTCTGGCATAGGGGCTGAGAACTCAGGGGACTGCCTGAGAATGCTTGGATCCAGTCTCCACAGGGTGGTGAGCTTCCCCTAATTGTGCCATACTCATCCCCCTACCTGGGATTTTGTGAAGCCCCTCCCCAGGCCCCAGGGCAGATCTGGCTTTGGTGGACTAAGGCTGAGATCACAGCAGACCAACTGAGAGTCCCCAAATTGCTCCCTCCTCCTTAGGGAATTTCTCAAATTTTCTCTGCATTCCTGCTAATAGGGGTCCAAACCTTAGAAGGAAGTTTGAATATACCTGACCTGAACCTGACTTGGGCTTCTATGGGTGCTCCTGAAGCTGATCTTGAAGCCATCAGTTCCCTCCAAATAAAACCTGAGAGAACCTGAAACCTGTACCAACCAGCTTTACATAACCAATAGGGAAAGGACCTAGGCATCCCAATAATACAAACAGAAACATACTTCAACTTAATTCTCATATCAGAATCATAAACAACAAAAGACATTCACATGCCAAAATCACAATGAAAGAATAATACAATGGAAAGCCAAAATACTATGTCCTCACCAAACTCCACAAGTCCTGTAGAAGAATTCTACAAGGAGAATGCCCTAGAGATAACTCAGGACACTGAATTTAAAAGAACAATCACAAACATCATCAAGGAATTCAACGAATTTAAAGAACACATAAACAAACAAATCAAAGAACTAAAAGAAGACAGGGATAAACTTCTGAATGAATCCACAAAAGAGAAACATTGAAGAAAACTCAGGCAGAAATTAAGAAGGAAGTGCAAAACTCAATAAGCCAAGAGACTTTAAACAACAGGGGAAAGCCTTACCACTAGAATGAATGAAACGGAAAACAGAATATCAACACTGAAGGATAAACTTGAGAATTGGACCACTCAAGCAAAGATTATGGAAATTTTGAAAAAAACACATGGATGGAAAATGCAAGAGATGTGGGACACCATGTAAAGGCCAAATCTACAGATCATAGGAATAGAGAAAGAAGAATTTCAGGTTAATGGTACTGACCAGATCTTAAACAGGACTGTAAAAGAGAATTTCCCAAAATTAAGGAAAGACATCCCCATAAAAATACAGGAAGTACAAAGAACACCAAATAGATAGGATCAGAAAAGAAACTCCCCACAACATATAGTAAAAACACTAAATGTACAGATCAAAGAGAGAATACTGAAAGCAGCAAAAGAAAAACAACAAGTCACATACAAAGGAAAGTCCATCAGAATTACAGCTGACTTATCAAAGCAAACT